ACGAAATTTGGCGTGCTTGCATATCTCAGTAATATGCATCTAACTCTAAAGCCGCTCGTCCAAACTCTCGACGGAACCCCGACTTCTAAGGTCATGGCCCAGGGTCCCAACTGGCCCCCGTTGAGCTTGTCACCGACACCACTGACATCGCCTTCATCTTGCATTCTGCATATGCTTTCTCTAGGCATTCTTGTGCACATCCATGGGGTGTGATAGGTGATGCACCATCCTCCTTGATCGCATCATGACACTTCTCTCTCGGCCCTCAACATGGCTCGACGGGCGACATATGCGTGTCGCCACCACTTGTCCACTATGTGGGCATTACAACCTACTCTCTACTAGTATGGTTGTGACACTAAGCTCATGTTGGCTAACCACTCGAGATTAGTGGTGCATTGGCCAAACTAGGGAATTTATAATTGACATGATTATCATTTTTATTATATTAACTTGAGCATAATTCAACCAACCAACTAGTAACATTCTAAAGTTGGTAGATTTGAATCTTCACCCATTTTGATTGTACTAATTTTTCAAAAAATTTACTTCATAGCATTATTATGAGCCATGTTTGTGGAACTTTTATTATATTTAAAATTATATTTCCAGAAAAAGAAAAACTATAATTTCACAATGCTTAATATATATATATATATATATATATATATATATTTATTGAAATTTGGGATAGTTGAGAATCGTTTGTTAGTTTATACTTTATTTATTTTATTATTACTTTAGTAAAATGAAAATAATATTTATGTTCACAAATTAAAATTAATAATCTAAACTTAACGTTTTTATATTAATCAAAGCTTAAAAATAAAATAAAAAAGTTTTTGAAACTTACGTTTTGTTCTTCACATCGACTGAAATTTAGAAAATAATTCTTAAAATAAAACATAAAACCCTTATCAAATAAAATCTGAAAACAATAGGTTGAATGCGCGTATAATTTTCTAGTAAGTGTTGCATGATCACATTCTGAGCTAATTAAAGTAACTAATATTTTGTTTCAAAAAATGAAAATTCCTTCGAATGCCACGACCAATGTCTTTTGCTCATCCGATCCCACAAAAGAATAATAATAATAATAATAATAATAATAATAATAAAATGCTTACAATGTAATTGCTTGTACACCCGCATTTTATAATTTCAATTTACTTTTGTCAACAGATCACTCAAGCTCTACCTTTGTGTACTATTTTTTCTCGATAACATTAATATAAATAACCAAAATTGTCCAAGCCAACTCAATCTATTATATCATTGAATCTCATTCAGTACATCAATTTCCAAGTAACATTTGTTCTTCCCATTTATTTAAAATTTAAGATGAATTTAATTGGTTTTTATTGATCACCTCAGTATAGTTTAACTGGCATCAATCAGAGGTTCAAATTTTTATCCATACTACATATTTGTTCATCTAAAGAGGACTGGTCTAAACATGGTATTTATTTCTTTATAATTTTTTTTTCTGATTTTTATTATTGTTTTTCTTCCTATCTTTAAGCCATTGTGTTTTTTATTAAAAAAAAAAAAATCAAAACTTAGGGTTAAATAATGCACCTATGAAATTTGGGGCTGGTTTCAAAATATACCCTTATCTTTCAAAAGTTTCAATTTTACACTCAACTTCTAAAATTATTGCAAATATATCATTCTGTCAATATTTTCATGGAAAATAAAACAGATATGTGAAATGATAGCTAATGAGTTGATGGGTTGTAAAATGAAAGTTACATGTGGGCACAAATAGTCACATTCAAAATGGTGCTCACTGGGGAGAGACGAAGTAGATAGGTGGGTCTGAGTTTTTAGTCAACATTTTGTGAAATTTTTTTAGTACAATATATGGGGTGGGGATTCGAATTCATGATCTTTTGATTAGAAATTACTAATAGAGGAAGACAGTTTTCATCTTCAAAACCAACAAATTTAATTATCAAGCAGCTCGTGATCCTAGACTCGATTTCTTTGTTATCCTTAATTTTTGTCTTCGTGGGAAGGGAGACGCCAAATTATGTCCATCGTTCATACCCTCTCAAATTTTTTTTTTCTCCCAAATATTTTGATCATGAGAGTAACATAATATTTGATCCAATCTCTCCAAAAAAATGTTTACCCAAAAATGACGTCATTTTTTTTTTGTGACTAAGACGCTTCAAATTTATTTATCAGCTCATTATATTGCCACATTTTCATCTTTAATTTAATGGAAACAACGTAATTGAAACTTGAACTTTGAGTTAAAGGATGTAACTGAAAACTACTTATATCTAAATGTATTTCTCTTTTGACAATTCGTTGCCCAACCCACAACACCAAGTCACATTTTCGTTTTCTTTTTAATTTAAAAGTTGATAGCAGGATATTTTTTTTAAACAATTTTAAAGGTTGAGAGTACATATAATTGAATTTTTTTAAATAATAACAACACAATTAAAACATAGGTTAAATTTCAATTGTATTTTGTATAATTTAACCTTTAAGCTTATCCAGTGATCGGAGAAGATGGAGAAGCATCAAGTAGTTGCTTAATTGATATTAATTACTTTAGCACTAACTTTTAACTCTTTCTCTTTGTTCCAAACCCAAAAGTATTATGAAAGGTGTCGAAGCTTAGCAACTATTTCTATCATTTAATCGCGTCTTAATCTCTTTTGTTATCAACGATACGTGGGAAGAGAATTATATTCCATTTTCAATTATTTAATCAATGATATATATCTTAATTATTTGACTTATGTTTCGGATTGACGATTAAATTATTAGGATTATAATAAGCTTACGCCCAATAGAATACTAAGGATGTGTCTAATATATATATAAATATATGACAATTTGATACGATTCTCATAGTAGACTATTTTTGTACATAATTAAAGACTTCGGGTGTTCTTTTGTTAGTGTGTGATTAATTATCTCATTTATGATCTCGATGAGTCCATTACTGTTATGATATGGAGTAGTTAGTTTTATGAAGTATCGTAGACAATTAATTATTAAAAAATAAAAAAGAAATGATTACTCAAAGGATATTACATTACAATTACAAGTGTAGATACCTACCATTTCTCAGAAGACTATACATGCCTGCATTGAAATATTTTTGACAAAATATGTGTATATAGTTCATATTTGGTAATCGCAGTGGGTAGCAAAAATATTTTATGTATTTAAAAAAATATCGCCAGCTTTTCAAAATTTCAAATATAGTAAACTATTTGAATTTTTATTTTCGAAATTTTTATTATTCTCATTTTACCCTTATGATATCTTATATATATCTTATGTATATCTATATCTGGTATACATCCAATTTATTTATGATATACGTCTGATGTATATCATATCAAATCTATATATGATATACATATATCTAATGTAAATTTGTATATGATATACATCAAATCTATATCTAATGTACATTTGAGGCAACTCTGATTACTTCTGATATACATTCGATGTACCTGTCATATACAGTATCAGATGTACCATGATATACATTATC